TCTTTTTCGAAGTCGGCATCTATCAAGTTTCTGTGAAATGGAAGAGAAATTTTCAAGTTTGCAGGAATTTTTCTAGAATGTGAGCCGTTTTTTGGAATGTGCAGTCTTTTTACTTTCAACGCATTTTAGTTCGTAAATTGTAAAACTAGTAAATATTGCGTCCACAATCGTCTATAACTTTATTAAACAAGAATCAGCAGGAATTCCAGAATTATATTCATTGAAATTTTCATGCTTCGGTGTGTTTCACATATCATTTTGCAACGGCAACTCTTTAGTTGATACAACGGTTTCATAAAAAAATCTTAAATTTTTTTTTATATATTTGAGTACTGTTGCTATAAGCTGCAGGAATTGAACTTCCTGAAATTGAAATTTAAGTGTCTTTCCTAGAAAAAAGTAAATATCTCATGCACTTTATTTATATGAACGCCTTTTAACTTTTTCCAATGCGCAGATATATAAATCCAGCAGGAATTTCGACATTCAGAATTTAACTGTAACATATTTATTAATATTTCGTCCAATTTTACTGTAAAGTTCTCATGAGAGAAAATCATCTACAAAAAAAGTCTTTTTCAAAATCGGCATCTATCGAATTTCTGCAAAATGGAAGAGATATTTTTAAGTTTGCAGGAATTTTTCTAGAATATGAACCGTCTTTTGTAATGTTCAGTCCTATTACTTTCAACGCATTTTAGTTAGTTAATTGTAAAATTTGGGAAATATTGCGTCCATAGTCGTCTATAAATTTTCTTAAAGAAGAAACAGCAAGAATTCAAGAGTTATAATCGTTGAAATTGTCAAGCTTTTGTGTGTTATATATAAAATATTTTACAGCGACGACTCTTCTACTAATATTCCGATTTTATAAAAAAAACTTAATTTTTACTTCCCGAGCGTAAGCAAAGGAAGTATTGTAATCGAGTCCGTCGGCCGACTCTCTACTTTTACGTTTTCTCGATCTTTCATGACCCCTAGAAGACGAAGAAATAGGTCTCCCATTTCCGTCTGTCTGTCCGTCTGTCCGTCTGTCCGTCTGTCCGTCTGTCCGTCTGTCCGTCCGTCTGTCCGTCTGTCCGTCTGTCCGTCCGTCTGTCCGTCTGTCCGTCTGTTGTCACGGATTTTTATTAGACAGATAATCTCCGAAAGTACTCGACCGATTGTTGTGAAATTTTGTAGTTATATTAAGAATATCATGTAGATGGTAAAACGCTAACCAAAATTTGTCGAATCATCCCCACCACTAAAGCGATGACGTCACTTCAAAATTGTACATAGTAAATGGGTTTTCAATTGTATAAAATAACATAGTCCTACACATGTAGTTTACAACTCTGAATCGACTTTTCACCCGAAACGTCCAGATTTTTGGAAAAAAAATCAAAATTATAAAACAACATTTTGAAATTTAATTTTTAATCTGCTAACCAGAATGCTTTGAAATGTTGCAGATGTTTTAAGGCTATAAAGAGCATCATAAATCTTTAGTCAAAAAATATTTGCTTATCCCCTCCAAAAACTTGATGACGTCAGCTCAAAAGTTTGTGGAATAAATCATATCTAAGATGTACAAAATATGATGAGTCTGTACTTGTGATCTATCACTCCATTAATATATTTTGGATTTGCATATACAGGGTGACTCAAAAAAATTAATGAATGCGTAAATATATTTTATTGATTTAATCAGGAACTACAAAACCGAATGCTCTGAAATCTTGCAGATGTTTTAAGGTCATAAAGAGCATAATAAATGTTTAGTCAAAATATATTTGCTTATCCCCTCCAAAAACTTGATGACGTCAACTCGAAAGTTTGCCGAATAAATCATATCTAAAATGTACAAAATATGATGAGGCTGTACTTGTGATCTATCACTCCATTCATATTTTTTGGATTTGCATATACAGGGTGACTCAAAAAAATTAATGAATGCGTAAATTTATTTTATTGATTTAATCAGGAACTACAAAACCGAATGCTTTGAAATCTTGCAGATGTTTTAAGGTTATAAAGAGCATAATAAATTTTTAGTGAAAATATATTTGGTTATCTTCTACAAAAAACTGATGACGTCAGCTCAAAAGTTTTCCGAATAAATCGTATCTAAAATGTACAAAATATGATGAGTCTGTACTTGTGATTTATCATTCCATTCATATTTTTGGATTTGCATATGCAGGGTGACTCAAAAAAATTAATGAAGGCGTGAATTTATTTTATCGATTTAATCAGGAATTACAAAACCGAATGCTTTGAAATCTTGGGAATATTTTAAAGTTATTATAAGCATGGTAAACTTTTGTTCAAAATGTATTTGTTCATCCCTCCTAAAAAAATTGATGACGTCACCCTTAAATTTTGCTGAATAAATCCTATCTAAAATGCAAAAAATATGATGAGTTTGTACTTGTGATTTATCATTCCATTCATATTTTTTAGATTTTCTTAAGAGGTGGTTCAAAAAAATTAATGAAGTCAATTTATTTTATTGATTAAATTAAAGGCAACACTTATTATTAGTATTACACCCCAACCAACCCAATTTGGTAGACACAAAATTTGTTAAAGGAAAAACTCGGTTGAAACATAAGGGTAGCACGCTTATTTACATCGACTTTAACATTACAGACCTGCATTTGTTTTATGCGTTCACTTGATTCCGCGAATGTGAAATAGACATGTTTATAATCAACCAATTGTGAATTTCACCGTCAAGAATTAAAATAAAACCCAATGTTTTATATAATAAGCGGAAGTCGAAGCAATAAAACCGACGGTCGTTTTGTTTACAGTTTCTGTGTTTGGCTCTCACGTATGCTGTTACGCCTGTCATCTTAAATTAACAATGTTTATACATACACGATTTTCAGTTGCCTCTGATACGTAGGTATACGTGAGTAAATTGTTTCGTTATTTTATTGATTATTACAAATCAATATTCAAACGACCCAATTCATTTTCCCGAAAATTTGAGAATATAATAATTTTATTCTTAGTATTACACTACATCTATCCCAACTGATATACGTGTCCTTGCAAAAATGTTGATGACGTCATCGCAATTTTTTTTTAAATTCCCACTACAAAAATGTAATGAGAAAAAAAACACAATAGGCATGCAGTCGTCAAGTTTCCGACAGCGAGGGAAGTACTGTCTAAACTCTTTAGACCAATTTTTTGTTATATTTTAGTAATACTGCTATAAGCTGCAGGAATTGAGCTTGAAAATTAAGTGTCTCTCTTAAAAAAAATTAAATATTTCATGCACTTGATTAATATGAGCCCTCTTCAGCTGTTGTCCATACACTCGAATCTGAAACCAGCAGGAATTTCGACATTCAGAATTTAACCGTAACACGTCTATTAATGTTTCGTCTAATTCCTCTGTAAACTTGACATAAAAGAAAACCTTCCACAAAAAAGTGTGTTTTTCGAAATCGGCTTCTATCGTATTTCTGCAAAATGAAAGAGAATTTTTCTTAAGTTTGCAGGAATTTTACTAGAAAATTAACCGTCTTTTGTAATGTTCAGTCCTATTACTTTCAACGCATTTTAGTTAGTTAATTGTAAAATTTGGGAAATATTGCGTCCACAATCGTCTATAAATTTTCTTAAAGAAGGAACAGCAGGAATTCAAGAGTTATAATCGTTGAAATTGTCAAGCTTTTGTGTGTTATATAGAATATTTTACAGCGACAACTCTTCTACTAATATTCCGATTTTATAAAAAAAAATAATTTTTTGTTATATTTTAGTAATACTGCTATAAGCTGCAGGAATTGAGCTTGAAAATTAAGTGTCTCTCTTAAAAAAAATTAAATATTTCATGCACTTAATTAATATGGGCCCTCTTCAGCTGTTGTCAATACACTCGAATCTGAAACCAGCAGGAATTTCGACATCCAGAATTTAACCGTAACACATTTATTAATATTTCGTCCGATTCTTCTGTTAACTTGTCATAAGAAAAAACCATCTACAAAAAAAAATGTATTTTTCGAAATCTGCTTCTATCAGATTTTTGCAAAATGAAAGGGATTTTTTTTAAGTTTGCAGGAATCTTACTAGAAAATTAACCGTCTTTTGTAATGTTCAGTCTTATTATTTTCAACGCATTTTGGTTAGTAAATTGTTAAAATTTGGGAAATATTGCGTCCACAATCGTCTATAAATTTCTTAAACAAGAAACAGCAGGAATTTCAGAATTGCAATCGTTGTAATTCTCGTGCTTTTGTACGTTTTATAGAATATTTTACAGCGAGAACTCTTTTACTAATTCCTCGGTTTCATAAAACAAATATTTTTTTTTTGGTTCATTCGAGTACTCCTGCTATAAGCTGCAGGAATTGAAGTTATTAAAATAGAAATTTAAATGTCTCTCTTGGAAATGTAGAGACAATTCTTTTTAATAGGTACCCACCTGAATTTTTTATTGAGTAAATTTCGATAAATTGCAGGAATTGAGTTCCCTAAGAAAACATGAACTTAAATATCTGATCCACTACACAATCGTATTGTTAAATGCAGGAATTGTAAACCACCAAGAATTTTTTCAATTTTTTTTTCAGCCCAGTTAAAAAATAAGTTATCAATCAGCAGGAATTTTTCCGAACAACTAAACGAATGAATTATCGCACGACTACAAACCACCAACGTGATGTCAAAGCAATTAATCAGCAAAATACGCAGTGTAATTTACGTGTTTCAATTGCAAATTGCGGCCATGTTCCACCTTAATATTTGACTTGAATGCATGGATTTATAACGTAACTAGCATTGAATCGATCGTTTAATACCTAGTTTTCAATGAAATATTCAGTGTGGAAAATCATGCCGCCGCCGGACGATTGATGTTTATCGCCTGCCTAAACCCAAAGCACAAACCCCAAAAGTGTTAATTTGAAGCTTCACAATCCCAAATTCTCAATTTTTAGAAAGTTAATATAATGTCACTTGTCGTCACATGAGAGCGGCATTAATCGCACCCCACTCACTTGTTTTCGACCTCGGCTCCCTGGGCCCGTCCACCGTGACCTTGATCGCCTTGTTGTAGGTGGCCACCTGCGGCGGGCTCGTCGAGACCATGATCGTGAGCGTGAAGCTCTTCCCTGGAACAAAATCGAAATCGAATTAGATCCCTCGGAGGCGGCGTAGCGTGTCGGCGGCGGCGGCGGTCCGGGCTAGTTAACACTTACACGAATGCCGGAGGTGGCGGCTTAAAAGCGGCTAACCGGGGACCTGACCGCGAGCCGGGTTCGTACCAGCCGGCGGCCGGCGGCGGTGGCGGCGGCATCGCGTGACGCTCTCACCGACTCCACTCCTGCGGTACACCCGCGCTGTTATGTGCACCGGCCGGCGGCACGCGAACGTCTCGTCATTTTTCCGACAAGTGTGTAGGAAAAACGCACGGGGGCGGCGGACGAAAATCGATGCGTTCCAACTTGGCCGGGATGGCGGTGGCGGTGTGTTTGAGGTATCACACAAACCCTAATGGCCGGGTTAAACACATCAAGTAGTGTGCATTTTTCAGCCAGGGGCGGCGCTTCCCGGAATATTTTCCAAAAAAACGGAAATCGCGGAAAAAGGGGATTTCGCTGAATTAGTCGCAGAGTCGTCAAATCCATCAAGGTGGAATCGCTAATTCCGGATTATCAGATGATTATTTCAAGCCCGGGCCGTCTCCCGTTAATTACTTCTCGGCGTCTCCAGATTGTGCCCTTATCTCGAAGATATCTTCCAGTTTGTCAATGATTAATGGTCCGGAGGCGGGAGATGTCGCGGTGATGGGGTTATATCGATTCGTTTTGCGGAATTAAGCCGATCTAATCATCATCGGAGGGAGCATTAAAATTGATAACGGCACAAAGTGCATTAGTAAAACCAGATTAAACAAAAAGCTCTGAAAAAGGAGCTTCCACCGGCAATGATCAAAATAAATATTGGAGAGAAACACACACAAAGCCGGCCAGTAATCCGGTCGACCAACAAGCGGGAGCCTAGTTCATTTCACCATGTAAAACGCAATCGATTATGTACACTTTTGGATTTATTCGGCGGACGGTTTAATGAGTTTCGCGGTGCGCCGTACTGCTGAATACAGGGGCGGGGAACGCGACGGGACAACACGCAGGACGGCCCAGAGTGGTCGCAGGAAATTTAAATGGAAATTCGGACCAAGGGACGGGTTAGACGTGGACATGGGGGAGGCGGCGGACGGACTTGAGAGGAATCTACCGAAATCACCAAGAAAACTTTAATGTCGTTATTTCATAGAGAAGACCATCATAAGAAATTTACTATACAAAAAAATAATATTGTAACAGTAGCATATTTTATCAATGATTCTTCAGGTAACTCTATTAATTATTAAAAAATCGATATATAGAATTCATACAGTACTTCCCTCACACTTTGAGCAGTGACCTGATGTTTGTCAGGTCATGGTGTTGTTGATTTACAATTTAAAAACCATGCTGATGTTCTATTCTATAACTTGTGTCGGTGTCGGTGTCGGTGTCGGTGTCCATGTCGACGGTCTATAGAATTTACACAGTCGTAACACAGTTGAGCGCTCAACTGATGTTTGTCAGATCAGGTTTGATCAGGTCAGATTTCTTTAGTGATAAATTTTGTCGAAAGAAGAAGTAAGGAAAATTATTAAAAAAAATAGTTTTAGTATTTGCCAAGATAAGACTGATATTGCCAAATAACATGACCTCTAAAAAAATAAAGGGCGGGTGGGCGTTTTTTGAAAAATAAATAAATAAATAAATAGTGTTGTTGTAGATTTCATGCCAAAAAAGCTTAATTTTGAAATTTTTTGTGTCCTCAATTTTCGATTTTTCAATGTTTCGATTTTATAATTTTTTGTTTTTCCAGTTTCAGTTGAATCAATTAATCGTTTTTTTTGTTTTTGGATTTGCCATTTTTCAATTTTTTTTTTATTCAGTTTACGTCTTCGAATCTTCATTTTTAAATTTTTCAGTTTTCCGATTTTCCAACTACATGAGTTTTCAATTTTACCATGTTTCATTTCTTTAATATTTTGAATTGCAATTTTTCGATTCGGTTTTTTATTTTCTTTGTTTTTAAATTTTTCGGTTTTTCAGTTTTGTGATTTTATAATTCTTTTTTCAATGTGAAAACTTTCTATTTGTGGATTTTCCAATATTTAGATTTTTTTTCGTTTTTTTCCAATCTTAGATTTTTAATTTTTCAATTTCAAAAATTTAGAAATATTCGATTTTACAATTTCCCTGTTTTCCAATTTTTCGTTTCGATTCTTTTTTCTTGTTTCCAATTTTCCGATTTATTTTTAAATTTCTCATCTTTTAGTTTTTCAGTGTATCAATTTTTCGTCTTTCAGTTGTTCGATTTTTCAATTTTTCAACGTTTGGAATTAAAAAAATGGAAAAATTGCAAAACTGTAAAACAGAAAAATCAAAAATGAAAACTGAAAAATCTAAAACTTGAAAAATTGAAGAAACGAAAAATTCAAAAATCGAAAGAATAAAATTAAAGACATCGGAAAATCGGATAATTGGAAATCCAAAAATTACAAGTTTGAAAAATGAGCAATTGAAAAATCAAAGATTGAAAATTTGAAAAACTGAATTAACCAAAAATTATTAAATCGAAAGAAACATTGAAAAAAATAAAAATAAAATAATAAAGCCAGAAATTGTAGTAGAAAATCGTAAAAAAGAAAATTAAAAATTGTGAACTTGAAAAAACCGGGAAACGACAAATTGAAAAATTAAAAAATTAAAAATCGAGAAACTTTGGTTTAATTTTAAGTTTAATTAAGCCCCGCCCACCCACCCGTCCGTTCTCTCTTTTTTCTTCTGAAATAAGAAAAAAATTTTTAGACATCCTAGATTCTACTAGTTTCCATTCCCATTCGACGGAAGAATACTATTAGCCCCGCCCACCCACCCTTCTCCGTTTCAGTGATTTATTTTATCTGGTCGGAATGAAAGGTGGATCTTTAGTATAAAAAAAAATCCAGGGACTGAAAAATCAAAGATTGAAATTTTGAAAAATTAAATTAACGAAAAATTATAAAATCGAAAGAAACATTGAAAAAATAAAAAGGAAATAATTGTAGTAGAAACTTGAGAAAAACTAAGGAAACGAAAAATTGAAAAATCGAAAAATTAAAATTTAAGAAACTGAAAATCAAATAATGAAAAATTGCAAAACTGGAAAAATTGAAGCTGAAATAACAAAAATGAAAAAACCGAGACATATACATTGAAAAAATTAAAAAAAAATGATAAAAGGAGAAATTGTGGTAGAAAACCGGGAAAACGAAAAATTAAAAATCAAGAAAGTTTAATTTAGTTTTAAGTTTAACTTAGTCCCGGCCACCCACCCGTCCGTTCTCTTTTTTTTTTAATAAAAAATAAATTTTTTCGACATCCTAGATTCTATTAGTTTTCCATTCCCATTCGACAGAAGAATATTATTAGCCCCACCCACCCACCCCGCCTCCGTTTCAGTGATTTATTTTATCTGGTCGGAATGACAAATGGTGGATATTTAGTATAAAAAAATCGAGGGACTAAAAAATCAAAGATTGAAAATTTGAAAAATTAAATCAACGAAAAATTATAAAATCGAAAGGAACATTGAAAAAATAAAAAGGAAATGAAAAAATCGAAAATTGTGGTAGAAAATTGAGAAAAACTGAGGAAGCGAAAAATTGAAAAATCGAAAAATTAAAATTTGACAAATTGAAAATCGAATAATGAAAAATTGTAAAACTGAAAAAAATTGAAGCTGAAATAACGAAAAATTATGAAGCCGAAACAAAAAGAAAATAATAAAACGAGAAATTGTGGCAAAAAATCGGGAAAAGGAAAATTAAAAATCACGAACTTGAAAAACGGAGGAACGAAAAATTAAAAATCGAGAAACTTTAATTTAATTTTAAGTTTTAACTTAGCCCCGCCCAACCACCCGTCCGTTCTCTTTTTTTTTTCTTCTGAAATAAGAAATACATTTTTTAGACATCCTGGATTCTATTAGTTCTCATTCCCATTCGACACAAGAATATTATTAGACCCGCCCACCCACCCCGCCTCCGTTTCACTGATTTATTTTATCTGGTCGGAATGACAAATGGTGGATATTTAGTATAAAAAAAAATCGAGGGACTGAAAAATCAAAGATTGAAAATTTGAAAAATTAAATTAACGAAAAATTATAAAATCGAAAGGAACATTGAAAAAGTAAAAAGGAAATAAAAAAATCAAAAATTGTGGTCGAAAATTGAGAAAAACTGAGGAAACGAAAAATTGAAAAATCGAAAAATTAAAATGAGCAATTGAAAATGCAATAATGAAAAATTGTTACACCGAAAAATTGCAAAACTGAAAAAATTGAAGCTGAAATAACGAAAAATTATGAAACCGAAACAAAAAGAAAATAATAAATTGGAAATTGTGGTAAAAAATCGGGAAAAAGAAAATTAAAAATCGCGAACTTGAAAAACGGGAAAACGAAAAATTGAAAAATCAAAAATCGAGAAACTTAAATTTAATTATATATATTATTATAAGAAATAAATTTTTCGGACATCCTAGATTACACTAATTTCCATTCCCATTAGACACAAGAATATTATTAGCCCCGCCCACCCACCCCGCCACTGTTTCAGTGATTTATTTTATCTGCTCGGAATGAAAGGCGGATTTTATACTAAACAGAAATAAAATCGTTAGATGAAAGCAGTGCAGGTGAGCAAAACAAAACTAATTTTGGCAAATGATAGAACCTCTAAGAGAATAAAGGGTGGGTGGGCGGGGCTATTACCTACCAAGGTAAGACTGATTTGAGCAAATAACACTCTCTAAGAAAATAGAGGGCGGGTGGACAAGATTTTTATTTTTATTAAAATCTCCTATTTTTTTTTAGAATAGCTATTTACACTTTAACAATAAAAAATTATGTAAAAACTCTATGATAATTTCTGTGAAATTCATATATCAACGTTTTCAGAAATCGGGCGGGGCTATTATTTGCTTATAAGTATAAGACTCAGTAAGGAAAAGTTAGCCCCGCCCACCCACCCCTCTGTTCCGTTTTTTTTTCTTCTGAAATAAGAAATACATTTTTTATACAAGAAATTAAGTCTTTACTTTTTTATATAAAACAGTTACGATTAGCGCTTTTTTACGTTTTTCACATCCTAGATTCTACTAGTTTCCATTTCCATTAGACAGAAGAATATTATTAGTTCTTCAATATGAAAATACTGACATACACAAAACAAATTTTACTAAAGATACCAGGCAAACTTTAATTTCCTTAAGCCATATTTTGTCTTTTTTACTTTTATTTTTTTTACTTGATAAGATAAGACTGATTTTGATAAATGACATATCCTCAAAGAAAATAAAGGGTGGGTGGGCGGGGCTAAAACTTGCTAAGATAGAACCGAACAGTGTTAAGAGTAGACACTGGAATGAAGAAAGGGTGGGTGGGCGGGGCTACTGCTTGCTCATAAAACTAGAAAAAAGCTAAACTTAGCTCCGCCCATCTCTCTTCCCCATTTCACTGACATTTTACTTCTCGAGCGTAAACGAAGGAAGTATTGTAATCGAGTCCGCCGGCCGACTCTCTACTTTTACGTTTTCTCGACGCTTCATGACCCCTACCCCTATTGTGTTGAGCACAAGTTTAAATTTTTTGAAATTGTAACTCTTAGGTGGATATTTACTTTTCTCCCATAAGCTCTTTTTCTTTAAATCTCGACGTTTTCGGCAGAAATTTAATCATTTTAATCGTGTTTTTCGAACAAAATGCAAATTTAGAACGATTCTTGAAGCATTAAAATTTTCTATAAATTCGATAAAATGCACAAACCATGTAAAATAATTTCACTCTTGGCTGTTACAGAGATTTGTCTTTAATTAAGAGCCAATGAAATTATCACTCATTTTATTGGTTGTGGATTTTATATTGACAAGCAATTGAAAACTAGACAAAAAAGTCAAAATAACTCCACCCACCTCCGCATCTGGATTTTATTGGTTAATTTTATTCAGTATGAGATAAAAATTGAATTTGGTACATATTGTGAAGTACTTGCGAAATAAGACCTCTAAGAAAATAGGCGGAGCTACTATTTGTTAAGATTAGAGTGATTTTGGTTATTGGATGAATAATCTCTGGTGGGTGGGGCTATTGCTTGCTTATAAAAGACTTGGTTTTTTACTTTTTTTACATCCTAATTCTATTAGTTTCCACTCTCAGTCTGCGGAAATATATATAATTACCCCACCCACCCTCCCCGCCTCCATTTCACTGATTAATTTTATCTGCTCTGATTGAAAAGTGCATTTTATACTAAACAGTGATAACATTAGTTGTTAGAGGAAGAAAAGGGTGGGTGGGCGGGGCTAATACTTGCTAAGATAAGACTGATTTTGGCAAATGACACTAATAAAATAAAAAAAGGATTTCACACTGATAAACGTTGGAATCTAGACAAAAAGCTAAAATTAACCCCTCCCATTATGTCCGCTTTTGAATTTCATTGGTTTTTTGATTAGAGGGACAGTTAATTTAATTGTGTCAAGTAGTCGAGTCTACGCTTAAAAAAATTTAAAAAGTGGCCCCGCCCACTCACCCGGTTTAATTCTGGTCACTCATTTTATTGGACAAAAAGGGGGTTTTATTATGATAAACATTAGAATCTAGACGAAAAGGAAAACTAACCGCACTCACCTCCGCTTTTGGATTTCATTCGTTTTTTTGATTGGATAAAGTCTGAATTTTACTATGTCAAATGGCGAACTAGATTTACAAAAATTAAAAGTGGCCCCGCCCACCCACCCGGTTTTTTTTTCTGGCCAATCGTTTTATTGGACGAAAATTGCATTATATATTGAATTACAATGGAATCTAGTAATCTAGACAAAAAGCTAAAAAAAAATTTCAAACACTGTTAAAGAACTTTTAACACATTTAACGGTTATAGGAGACACAATTTTCAATAATATTTTTGGAATTTACTTGATATTTCTGCCGTTGAAAATGACAAAATCTAATTTCTAAAAGAATAAAATACTTGCTCATTTTCCTCTCTTTATATTCTAATAATAATAATTTTTCATGAATTAACGAACAAAAAATATTATTTTTTATATCTATAGGTACTTGTTAGTGTTTAAGACTTCATCGAGGAAAACCTTCAAAAACCTGAAATCGCGTTTCATTTACTCGACCTTTTCCATCAAATCCACCCCCGAATTTCCACCAAATCAGTTCTTCACGGTCCACACACCCCACCCTCACCACCCCCCTCCTCCTTCCACCCCCAAAACCCCCAAGACGTCCGTCTTATCGAAATCTTCCCCGGCCTCCGGTGACTTGAACGCCAGCAAAGAAAACCCCCTTCGCGATTTCTCCGTCGGACTACTGCGCGCATGGCTGAAAAATGGAAAACCCGCCTCGCGGAAAACCAGCTTGTCGCGGAAAAGTGTCAACAGATTATAAAAGTTAATCCGGCGTAAAATGAGCTGTTTGTCTGACGGCAGGCACCCTTTTCATTTCTCGTCACGAAATTAAACCGACAACTCGACTGATACGATTCCGTTTAAAAATAAAGTTTGAGCAGGGATTAGCGCAAAACGGACGTTTTTCCAGCTGTTGACACAACCGGAGCGCCCAATCGGGCCGCGACCGGACTAATTGCCCGATAAGCTCCTGGAGGCGCCCTCAATATTTCACAAGAAACGCCTGCATTTTGAAAAATTCAGCGCGAGGGGGCGGACCTGTTGCTGCGTATTTTCCACGAAAAAACTGATAATTAGCCGGATTATTCATGGGGTCGAGGGCTGATCAATGAGAGCGTGAATTATTTAAATATCGTGCATACACGAGGCGCTGTTTCTGGCGGTGGTGGCTCAAACAGAGTTAAAAAGTGGAGATGGCCGGTTTGATTACGCAGATCAAAGAGTAGTGGATGTGATTGGAATGCGCTTCGGAATGACACGTCAAATGTGTGGTCGATAGATCAAAGGGTTGAAAAATGCACAACTAAATAATCAGTTATTGTGTACAATCAGCAATAACCATTACATGATTAAAAGCTTTGTCGTGGAAGCTTTATATTAGGATGTGAATTGAATTGCGGCTTGTTTAAAAATGTTGGGCTTGCGGTCCGCCGCACCATTTCGCGCATACACAAGATGAACTTGTAATAAATCCGGCCAACGTTTTGGTTTTTCCGGGGAATAAAAAAATGGGATGATTATACAGACTTTAATTTTAATTTTTATTCCAGATTTTTATTTTTGCTAAGTCAAGGGTCCGCTCTCAGCTCGGTACGATTTACAATTTTCTATAGTGACGTCGCGATGTGTATAAATTATGATTTTTAAAATATATTCAGTCCAAGTTTACATATCGCTAATGCATGAGAACTTTGCGCTTCATATGCGAATTAGCGGAGACTTTGCATACATAAACTCCATTAAAATGTTATTTCAGGCTTTAATAAGAGCAAAAGTTTCAGCTCGTGTGAGTGGAAACTCGTCTAGATTTTAAAATCGTCACGTGGTGCATACAACGGGCACTGTTTTAGTCGTTTTGGTTGGTTTACAAGATGACAGATAAATTTCATTTCGCTTTAACCGGTGATGCTTATAATCTGAACGTGCTAATAGTCGAATTTTTTCGAAGTATAGACATAAAAAGGCGAAGTTAAACATGTACTGAGAAATTGAGATTTGTCCTACTACATTTTAAGAATGTGAAACCTTCTCGACGGCACCAAGTGTCTTTTTTTTTAATAAGGTAAAAGATTCTTTTTTTTTCTAGTAACGGAGCTGTTCAAGGTTTTGGTTTAAGTCCACTGCTAATGACAATTTTCTGTAACGAGTTAATCGTGTACACTATTATGCAATTTGGCTAAACACAAGAGGAATAGCTAGGTGCATAGATTAGATCCCTGGGTTATAATTTCCTCGATATTCTCTATTAGAACGATATAACCTAAACTCGTTGGAGAAGTTGTCAAGAAGTTTGTGCTTGTATCCCGTTCGACGGCACATTTCGACTCCGCTTTCCGGCGGCCATGTTTCTTAAATGGCGGTTATAAAATGTAAATTGTCGAAGAAGTGTGTTGGTTTAAGTTATGGTCGTCGCGGTGTCAACAAGTGTCCCGTCGCCGCCTCCGTCGGCGTGAACTCACCTCTTCCGCTCCTTCCGACGAACCTCAAATCGTTGAACTTGGCCACCTGGTTCTTCATGACCGCCGTCGAGTTCCTCAGCTCCGCACAGTAGTTCTCGTCGTTGCCCGCCCGCACCGTCACCACCGTGCCGTCCCCGACGTCCCCCAGCGCCACCACCTTGAACGCCACCGGCAGCGTCTTGTTGGAGCGCCAATGCGGCGGCAACACCGTGCACACGAACAGCGGACTCCCCGTCCGGATGAGCTCCCCCGGGTGCTCCGAGAGGAAGTCGTTCAGCGTCCTCTCCGCCAGGATGTCGGACGTCATCTTCGTGTAGGTGTCGTTGATGACGCTCGTGCCCTCCGGCGAGGCCGCCGCCCCCGGCGCCGTCCCCGAGCCGGCCGTCAGGTGCATCGTGGGGTTCCACTCGCCGAACATCACCGCGCCATCGTCGGCGGACCCGCGTCCCGTTGCCAGGCAACGCACCGTCGAGTCCGTGCGGTAAATGCCCACTTCTCGCACTACATGTCACGCGTGCACTATTCGCCGCGAATTTGCCCAAACTAAAGGCTTTAACAGTGTGTTGTTGATTAACTACCGAAAACACGCGGCCGCCCCCGCCGCCCCCCGCAAGACAAGGATAACCGGAGACACGTCGCGGTTTGGCCCGCACTCTTGCGCTTGATAACCCTTCGTTTATCGCGACAGAGACGCACTCCGGCCCGACGGGGACGCCCTGCGCCGCCCCACGGGCCAGACGGAGACGGAGCGACGCGATTAAAGCTGAAGCCAACGTAAAGGGGTACGGACGGGAGAGAGACGGGCGAAGCGGGCCCGGCGAGCGAGAGGGAGAGGGCGAATTTGCGGTTGCGGCGGGCCGGGCCTGGCGGTAATAAAGGAGCGAACTATATAAATTGGCGTAGGAGTGACAAGAACGCGGTTTGTCGAAGGCGGCGCACGCGTCACATATGCTGGATGGGCGCCAAACGCGATCGCCGCCGCCGCCGCCGACGGACCGACCGGCATGTGCTCGTCTTCGCTGGCGGCTAACCGGAGATGCCGTCATCCGCCGCCGACGCCGCCGACGCGACGAGCACGAGGTCGTGCCGATGGGGTTGCCACAACCGCACTGTTTGTGTGTGTCGGCGCGGGCGTGCGGCGACGCGTGGAGGTGGAAGGATAAAAATGGATAGGTGAATGAATGGGACGAAATGTAAACATTTTTTGCGGCGGGGGCGGCTGGACGAGGGCGCGAGATCGCCGCCGCTTTGTTAATGGCAGGGGAGCGATGAATGGACGCCGACGGAATTTTCTACGATTTCATAAATAAATCAACTTTTTCGATTTTCGAACGATTTTCAAAATTTTGAGTAATCTTATCAGAGACGTAACGTAGAGTTAATTGATAAATTTCATCATTACTCTAAACAGCGTTCACACAGGCTAACTTGACACTCAGCACATTTTTATTAAGTAGATTACGACATCAAAATTTTGGTGTGAATGGATGAACAATTTTTGGTGGAAATTTATCAGGCACAGTTTAGAATTCTTTAAAAAAAAACACTCCTTTAAATTCTTTAAAAAATAAATCACTAGGGATTTCAAAATACTAAAAATTTTCAAATTTGATTTTTGCTTTTATTTTTAACGAATCTATAAAAATCGATATTTCTTGTAAAAATCACGCGACGAGGACGAGGGAGCCGACAGGGGGTGTAATTTGCCGAAACCAGTCTTAACGAGTTCGCGAAACCGGAAATATGTCTCTTCGATTATTAATTATTATTATTAATTAAAGATGAATAATGAGTGGTTTCTGAAAAAAGTCTTTTGGTTTGAGCTGGATAAAGTGTTAAAGTGACGTTTAAACGGTTTTTGAAAAACATTCTTCTCTTCTTGTGGTAAGTTTGTACCGCATGTGTTTTATTACGATTTGTACAATTAAGTACATCACAAACACTTAGAAATCAGGCAAACAAATACAGAATCTTGGAAAAATTGTAAAATTTAATTTTGTGGATTTAATTTTTTTATAACCCCTATAAGCTAAAATAAAGAACTGCCTACTGTAAAAGTAGATAAAGGAGCATGCTATATAGATGTTTCAAGTGCATTTTTCTGTTATGAGTAATTTTAAAAAAATGGTCGAAGCTGTTTCGAAAAATTATTTGATGTATATGCAATTGTTATGTAGACGAGGCTCAACATCTCCCTAGATACGATCCTGTCTAAAAGTGACAAAATATGAAAGTACCAAGTCGCCCTATAGACTCGGTTACTATACTTCTTTAGTTTACGCTCGATAAGTAAAACAACTTGAAAGTGTTTATGTTTACACATCAGAAGAATGCCACGTGGAAATTAATTTGATTTGAATGAGTTTGTCACCTCAAACCAGAGGATTAAAATGGTTAAGTAATTCTTATTTAATCCTTATTAAATCAAGACATTTGTATTTTCGGGAAAATGGGGCGACTCGTTAATTTGATTAAAAAAAAATGGGAGAGTGATTTAATATTTTCTATCTTGGTACAGAATAATCCGATTTAAACAATAAAAAAATGTATAATAATAATAAACAAAATCAAGATATATGTTCGTAAACTTCAAGTACATTCCAGTGACTACCCTTAATATTGTTCAGTTCTACCTTAACAACTTTTAGCCCCGCCCACCCACCCTTTATTTTTTTAAGGGATATGTGATTTACTAAAATTAGTCTTTTCTTATCAAGTTCCAGAAACGCCCACCCGCCCTCTATTTTCTTAGAAGATATATCATTTACCAAAATCAGTCTTATCTTAGCTGCACTAGCCCCGCCCACACACGCTGCTGTCATTCAAACGATTTTATCTCTGTTCAATGGAAATCCACCTTTCATTCTGGCTACATAAAATGAATCACTAAAATGAAGGCGGGGTGGGTGGGCGGGCTTAATTATTATATGTTCTTTTGTAGAGTGGGAATAGGAACTAACAGAACGTAGACTGCTAAAAAAAGAAAAACACGCTAATCACAATTTTTTTGTTATACTATGTGATGTAAGATGTACAGGTAGGAGGCGGGGCTAAATTTAATTTTTTTCTAGTTTTATGAGCAAGCAGTAGCCCCGCCCACCCACCCCGTCTTCATTTCCAAGGACGACTCTTAATATTGTTCAGCCTTATCTTATCAAATACTAGCCCCGCCCACCCACCCTTTTTTTCTTAGAGACTATGTCGTTTACCAAATCAGTCTTACAAGTAGTAGCCCCACCCCCTGTTTTCTACTTTCTCCGAGGCTATGAAATTTGCCACAATCAGTCTTATCTTAGCAAGTACTAGCCCACCCACCCTTTAGTTTTTTAGAGATATGTGAATTACCAAAATCAATTCTATCTTAGCCTTTACACCCGTTTTTTATCTTCACAAGTACTAGGCCCTCCCACCAGCCTTTTCTTTTCTTAGAAGGTATGTCATTTGCCACAATCACTTTTATCTTAGCAAATATTAGCCCCGCCCACCCACCCTTTGTTTTCTTGGAAGGTAAGTCATATTCCAAATCAGTCTTATCTTATCAAATACTAACCCCACCCACCCACCCCGCCTCCATTTCAGTGATTAATTTTATCTGCTCTGATTGAACGGTGCATCTTTACTGAACAGTAATAAAATTAGTCGTTGGAGGAAGAAGAGGGTGGGTGGGCGGGGCTAATACTTGCAAAATACGACTGATTGTGTCAAATTATATGCCTTCTAAGAAAATACAGGGTGGGTAGGCGGGGCTATTGGTTGCTTATAAAAGACACTTTTTTTTACGTCCTAATTCTATTAGTTCCCACTCTTAGTTTACGGAAAATATATAATTTGCGTCCCACTCTACAGAAGAATACATAATTAACAACGCCCACCCACCCCGCCACCATTTCAGTGATTAATTTTATCTGCTCTGATTGAACGGTGCATCTTTACTGAACAGTAATAAAATTTGTCGTTGGAGGAAGAAGACGGTGGGTGGGCGGGGCTAATACTTGCTAAGAAATGACTAACTCTGTAAGAGACATACCTTCCAAGAAAATAAAGGGTGGGTGGGTGGGGCAAGTACTTGCAAAATACGACTGATTGTGTCAAATTATATGCCCTCTAAGAAAATACAGGGTGGGTAGGCGGGGCTATTGGTTGCTTATAAAAGACACTTTTTTTTAATTTTTTTACGTCCTAATTCTATTAGTTCCCACTCTTAGTTTACGGAAAATATGTAATTTGCGTCCAACTCTACAGAAGAATAAATAATTAAACCCGCCCAGCCACCCCGCCTCCATTTTAGTGATTAATTTTATCTGCTCTGATTGAACGGTGCATCTTTACGGAACAGTAATAAAATTTGTCGTTGGAGGAAAAAGAGGGAGGGTGGGCCGGGGTTAATACTTGCTAAGAAAAGACTGACTTTGTAAGGGACATACCTTCCAAGAAAATAAAGGGTGGGTGGGCGGGGCAAATACTTGCAAAATAAGACTTATTATGTCAAATTATATGCCTTCTAAGAAAATACAGGGTGGGTGGGCGGGGCTATTGGTTGCTTATAAAAGACACTTTTTTTACTTTTTTACATCCTAATTCTATTAGTTCCCACTATCAGTCTACGAAAAAATATATATAATCAAAATCTGCCCACCCACCCTCCTCTCACTCTACAGAAGAATATGTAATTAACCCCACCCACCGTCTCCGCCTACATTTCATCGATTAATTTTATCTGCTCTAATTAAAAGGTGCATCTTATACTGAACAGTAATAAAATTAGTCGTTAGAAGAAGAAAAGGGTGGGTGGGCGGGGCGAAAACTTGTTAAGAAAAGACTGACTTCGATAAATGACTTACCTTCCAAGAAAACAAAGGGTGGGTGGGCGGGGCTAGTCCTTGCTGACATAAGACGGAACAATATTAGGAGAGATCACTAGTAAGAGTTATTGAAAAAAGATTTTTTTGTAAAGTAAGAATGCTAGGTAACCAATAGAACGTAGGTTGTTAAAAAATCGCGTTAATCGTAATTTTTTTGTTATACTATTTGTTATAAGATTTATTTCTTATATCAGAAGAAAAAAGTAAGAGAACGGGTAGGTGGGCAGAGCTAAACTTAACTTTTTTTTGCAATATGGAGTCTTTTATAAGCAAGCTTATCAAGTACTAGCCCCGCCCACCCACCTTTTATTTTCTTAGAAAGTATGTCATTTACCACAATCAGTCTTATCTTAGCAAGTACTAGCCCCGCCCACCCACCCTTTATTTTTTTAGAGATACGTGAATTACCAAAATCAATTCTATCTTAGCCCTTACATCCTTTTTTTCTTAAAGGGTACGACATTTGCCACAATTAGTCTTATCTTAACAATTACTAACCCCGCCCACCCACCCTTTGTTTTCTTGGAAGGTAAGTCATATGCCAAATCAGTCTTATCTTATCAAGTACTAGCCCCGCCCACCCTCGCTGTTCTCATTCTAACGATTTTATTTTTGTTCAATATGAGATCCAT